AGAAACGCAAGAAGAAATATGTGCTTTAGTACCTGAAAACTATGGGAAGCTGTGCACATATCGTATTGCACGTGTAGAGCGATCTGAAAAGGTAGAAATTGTACACCAAAAGGTATAATCCGTTTTTGTGGTAATACTATGAGTTTTCAATCGACATTTACCCTGACACGTCTTGTTATCTAGTCCTAAGCTCGGTTCCGGGTCTGGACATTCACATTTGTAGCCTCCAGCAGTATTAAGACACTTGTGACTGCAACCGCCATTTGATACCGTGCACTCGTTGATATCTGAAGAAAGACATTGTCTGTGTTATTATGTTTTCAAAAGGGTACACAGAACTCTAGTGGCAGTCATTGTGGTAACACCTGCGATCTGAAGCTCACCTTTGCATGAAACTGATTTAGCACTTTCCGTCCACTGACCATTTGCGCCACACTGCTTATACGATGGACCTTGTAGCTGGTATCCCTGCGGGCATGCGAACGAGCAAGTGGTGTTGAATTGCATCTGTGACGTCAGGCATTTGTCCGGGGATGTATTGACAAGGCGGCCGGCGCTTACAACTGTACAGTTTACAACTGAAAACACAACACAAAACAAAATGACGATCGAGATACCATAATTTTTTTATCAGTGTTAAGATTAACTTTTATGGACTCCATCAATTTCAAAATCTTTATGTTTTATGTTTTAGGCCAAACTCCAGTCTTTGGTAACAGGACTTCACAGTAGTGGTTCAGAATTTCAGCTCACTAAATCGCTCACTGATGAGATTCATCAGGAGTAAAACAGATGACACTCGGTTGAAAAAGAAAAAGAAATACATGGGCTTCACAATATTTTTAAAGTGATGAAGTTCAATGCAATGATTTCCCTTGACCATGCCAACCGAATGTCTTCCTGTTATCAGGCCTGGGCTAGTCTTGGGAAAGGACTGTGATGATATTTTAAATTACAACAATAAGAAAAAGAATAAGCGGCTATGCTTCAATGAGAGGTCTATCATTAGGACTAAAATCGTTTTCTGCAGAAAGTTTTCCTGTCTACAACTGAAATTCATGAAGGGGACGTTTCAATATGCAATAGCATTTGCTTTGAAGAGTGTAATCTTAGGGAGCAAAATTAACTCACTTGAGACTGTAGTCACTATTTAATATAGAGCACTTGTCGATATTTAAAAGAGCCATTGATTATCTGTGTTAATCAAAGGAGGATTACGTTTATAAAAAGATAAGAAGAATACGTATTGTAGTGGCAGTCATTGCGGTAACACATGCAATCAGAATCTCACCTTTGCATGAAACTGATTTAGCACCGTCCGTCCACTGACCATTTGCTCCACACTGCTTATAAGATGGACCTTGAAGCTGGTATCCCTCCGGGCATGAGAACGAGCAAGTGGTGTTGAATTTCATCTGTGACGTCAGGCAACTGTCCGGGGATGTTTTGACAAGGCGGCCAACTCTAAAAACTGTACACTTTACAACTAAAGCACAATACAGAATGCTGTGTTACAGCAATTTATTACCGTTAAAATAAACGTTTATGGACTACAGCAATTTCAAATTTTGTAAGTTTTATATTGCATAATAGATACATGATTGTCATAATAGTTGCTTTTTAGATGTTTATAAAAGGCTAAAAGTTACTAAAATTTTAAAAACCAAAACGTTTTCGACCGTAGGGTGATCATCAGTGGTACATGAGGTTATCATGAGTGGTACAAAAATTTTAAGAGAAGGCTTCCAATCACCTAGCGGTTGTGTTCAGTAGAGACCTCTAAAAAATAAAGGTCTAAAATAACAGTACAGTTAAATCATCTGTGAGCATCACTCACAAGATTCATGAGCAGCAAAACAGATGACACTCAGGCATTAGAGCAATGTAATGAATTGCTTTTTAGCTCGATAACTAACTGAAATGCTTATAGTTCGTATAGTGTGATCGTCCGGGTGAGTGTAGTTCTGAAAAGAACTGTTGTTGGTGACTGACGT